CCCCAAAACCCCAAAACCCCAAAACCCCTTTAGAAGGCCTTATGAAGGAAATATAAAGTTATTTTATACACCATGGCAACCCCGGAAGAAGGTACCTGACCGGCCTGGTCTAATGGTATAGAGATAGTGACAAAAATAGTAGAGAAATATGAGCTTGGAGTAGGTATAGAGAGTCAGGATTTCACTAAATGTTACTACTGACTGTTTAGGAAGAACTTGAAGAATTTGGCTATAAGTGGGTAGTAGAAGGGATCACTCTATACAGAATTAGGCTCAGATATCTACTTCTGTGGATTTTATATACGAGAGAATGGAGTTTTTATGATATCCGTAAGCTTTTACGTAGCATTAAGACCAAAGTGAAGACTCTACAGGAAAGGAACCCAAATGAGGATTATCTTCCAATAATTGATAGAATAAAGGACGTAGTAAAAATGATGGCTAAATTATCCAAGAATGACCAAATACTGTATTTCCCATCACAATTTGAGCTGTTCCCTGATGTCACAGATGAAACTATCGAGCAAGTTTATTAGTAAGTTTTGGGAATATTCTAGCGATAACTTACCTAACCAAGAGACTTTGGAGAAGGTCAGGCAACATCTTTCATGCATCCAGAGAATAGCTAAAAACTGGGTTAAAAATTGAGAAATCAGGCCATATGGTTCGATTACTAATGGGTTCTTATCAAAAGACACTAGTGATTTCGATCTGACTTGTCTCTTCAGGAATAAATTGTACAAGCACCCTCATTTATATTCAAAATAATTTGAGAAAAATGCTAGACTCAGAGTACGGAGAAGGTTCATGGAGTTATATATGAACTCCTCGGCTTTACCTCCTCACAACTCAGCTTGAGGACGGAACTGAAATTGAAATAACTTTCAACAACATCACTGGACTTCTTAACAGTGAATATGTCAGAACTTTGGCTGAGATCGATTCCAGATTCCACAAGTTAGGCTACTTCATCAAGCATTTTGTCAATTCAAGAGAAATCTTTGACTTAAAATAAGAAACTGAACTCATTTAGCCTGATATGTATGCTGATTGTGTTCTTACAAGATCAATGAAATCCTCCAGTATTGCCTAGGATTATCCAGAAGAGCTCTTCAATAGTCAAGAAAGGTAGCTACCAAGGGTGTAAATTATAGAAATGGTGACTGCTTCATACACCAAATCTATAGGTGAGCAACAAGAGCAGTATCTTCCAGAGTATGCAGCGAGAGTGAATACACTAGATGCTAACTTTGAGTTTGATCATAAAGAGATCCAGACTTTCATGAGTGAAGAAATTAACCAGGAATCAGTCTCTCAGCTGTTCAAATAGATTCATCCACTTTTACTTTTGTGGAGGAGGATTTGACCCTGTCCATGATGTTGTAAACACAAGAACAGGCAGGATTGAGAAAATTAGTAAGTCTTGTTTAAATTAGTACTACTCTAAATATGAAATCAAATGTTTTTATTTTTAGCACATTCGATCTCGTATGAAGCTAATTTTCATTCTAGAAGCCAATAAAAAGACTCTGAACCCTAAAATCAGAGTTAAACTACAAGATGCATGTATTGCTGTGATGGATCCCTTTGATATGTCATACTGCCCTTCGGCTAACTTTGAGCTAAAATCATATCGCAAAGGCGACTCTATGATAGAGAAATTGATCCAATTTATCCACTAAATTTTGAAACTATCCAATCTAAACAACTTTTGAAATTCTTTTGAAGGTGTTTTGAACTCTAACTCTCAAGAATCCCAATTTAGAGATTTACTTTATTGCACAGAGATAGTTCTTGCTAATAAAAATGGCACCTTTCTCTCAATATTCCATCATTCGGGTCACATTCTGCTACTTTTATCATGAGAAATTTAAAAGGGGTTCTCTGGTTTCAATCTATGAACCAGATCCAGGGGTTTTGGGGTTTTGGGGTTTTGGGGTTTTGGGG